AAGAGATCCGATAGAGACCGCCTTAAAACAAAAAAAAATGTGTCGATTATTTATATTAGGAACGCTTGTGCAGAAATTAATATAACATTAAGAGAACTAATAAAACTTAAACTAAAATAAACCTTTCGTCATCATTTACTCACACTTATGTCATTCCAGAACTGTATGACTGTATTTTTCCTGTGGAACACAAAAGGAGGAATCTGAACATATGGCTTCAGAAACTTTGAAATATATTTGTCTACTTTTGTTTTTTTTTTATTTTTTTATTTTGTCCATATGTTTGCATGGAGAACTGCTGCATTAAGTTTATGCTTCACGGAAAGTCATACAGGTTTTGAACGACATGAGGGTGAGTAAATGATGACAATTTATATACAATCAAGCAGAAATAGCAAAGTTTATTAAAATGGCATTATAAATGGCACATTTATTAAAATGAGGCTTCAGCAAACCTTCAAAGGCAACTCAAAAATATCTTATATATATATATATATATTAGCACTGTTTTGTGTCTTTGAAGTCTCTTTAAATACACAAGACTCTTCAAATAACTTTTTTGGAAAACCCTAATTATGAGGTAGCTTCATTTTAAAATGGTTATTTCCAGAACTACAAAAGTCATGTAAATGAATAAACTTTTATAACTTTATGGGATTTTTGTAATGAATATACATTTTTCTAGTTATGCCAAGCTCTAAAATATTATTCTGGGTAAAATTCTTATACAATGAATTATGAACAGCTAGAAAAGTCATAGCGTCTTTATGTCATGGACTAGGTGTAACATCCAATTTAATAATTAGAAAAAAAAACCCATGACATTATGTAAAATGTCTTTGCTCTATGGATATCTGGTGCAGACTGTAAGTGAAAGCAACATTTTAAGACTAGTAAAGAGCTCCATCACCCTGTGAAACAAACCTTCATACTGATGCTTGACTGTGTTTCCAATGTCTGCAAACTTGCGATCCTCAAAAATCAGGAAGTTGTGCTTTATAGCCAACTCTTTCAGACTGCTGGCGACATCTGCAGTGAAGTCCTGCAGGATGTCCACATGAGTCTTCAACACGCATATCAGTGGTCCCAATGCATCCGCAATCTCTAGCAGCTCCTCAGAACGAGTCACATCTGCAGACACACACAGATTGGTCTTCTTGTCTTCCGTGATCTTCAGCAGGCGGGCAGCGAGAGGGTGAGTGTCTGGCAATGCAGCCCGAGCCCCATAGCTGAGCTCCTTACAGCTCTTTTTAGGAGCTGAGAAGCCATTCGTCTTTGTTGATATGTAGGTGTTATTTTCTTGAATGAACCTCTCAACGTTTTGAGAAGTGGCCGTGTCTATTCGACCAGCTTTAAGTAACACATCCAGAAGTCTGGAGACAGAAATGACTGAATGTAGAGTGATGCCACGGTCAGCTAGCCTGGCTCTGCCTCCCTGCTCTCGGTCCATTAACACGACGGCATCCGTGATCTTCAGACCTTCCTTCTCAAGCACCTCAGCGGTTTCTAGAACACTGCTGCCACTGGTCACGACATCCTCTACGATTAGACATCTGTCACCGGGGTGGATGGTTCCCTCGACGAGACGTTTCGTTCCTGGGGGATATCAAAATACAAATCAATACAGGTTAGGGCTGGACGATATGGCCAAAATTGATATCACGATATATTTCTTAATTTCGGTCGATAGGATATAATTCCGATATCGATATGAACATCATATCACCGTTATTGAAAAAAATTATATCGCGATACATATTGATATTGAATTATTGTCCAGCCCTAACACAGGTCAGTGTTATTTTAGTATCATTAAGATACTATTATAGCATTTATTAATATTTGAATTTATTTTTATATTTTCCATTTTAATTTTAGTAATTGTGTTTAAAAAAATGTCTCTATAGTTTTTAGTAATTTTTATTTCAGTTTTAGATATTTTAGTACATTAGTACATTTAGTTAAACTAAATGAAAATCAGAAATGTCATGTTTGCAACAAGCTAAATAAGTTTTTTTATATACATATTGTCAATGCTTAGCAATTGTGTTTGTCATTGTTATAAGTTTTCTCCTTAAAGAAAATAATAAGTCTGTACAGTTTTTAGTAATTTTTGTTTCAGTTTTAGATATTAGTACATAAAAATTAAACAAAATGAAAAAAGTTGCCTTTGCAACTACCCGAAATGTTCAAGTTTTTTTGCCACTTTAATTTAAAATTTAATTAAAGGGGTCATATGGTGGGGGCGTGTTAGAATGAGCCGTTTTAGGGGGGCGTGGCAGAGTCTTAACTTTGATAAAGAATATCTCTTTGGTTTTGAGACTTTAGTCTTTGCAACTTCAGGGATCTTATCTATGCACAATCAGCTTGTAACACTCCAAAGAGAAAGGAAAACTTGAAATCGCATCATATGACCCCTTTAAAGTTTTAGTAATTGTGTTTCTCTCTCTTATTTTAATGTCTACACAGATTTGAGTCATTTTTATTTCAGTTTAGTTATTTTAGGACGTCAAGCTAAAGTAAAGGAATGTTGCTTTTGCAACTAGCTTAAATAAAATAAATTTAGGTTTTTAAAATGTATTTCAGTTAATGTTTATTTCATTTCAAGAAATGAAAACTTTGGTTTTAAGTGACTATAATAATACAGATTCACACTGCAAATCACACTATGAAATATGTAAATAAACTATTTGTAAATCCAAATAATTAACAAAGACATAAATATATGGGCACAGTTTAATCGCATGACATTCCATTTTGTCGATGAGAAAGTGTCCAAATCGATTTTGTATTCATTTTGAATATCAAATCTAACACTATATAAATAGCCTAACAAGATTTTTTTGTGAACTGTTTTACAGTTGTGCCTTCTTTTTGCACAAATACTGCTTGGTTTGAAATGTTGCTACCTAGCACAGTTTTTAAATGTGTCTTAAGTGTCCAAATACTTAACAGGGGATGGAGGGGTCGATAATACAATAAATCGATTACTGATAGTTAAATAGTCAGTTAAATTTGCATTATTTTACCATAGTCCTTTGCCTCCTTTCGTCGAATAAGCATGGGATATTGTTTGGTAGAGCAGATGATGGTGGCCAGAGGAAGAGCTGTGTAAGGGACACCACACACACTATCAAACTCAACTCCTGCATCCTCAGCACAAATGCGCTCTCACACACACACACACACACACACACACACACACACACACACACACACACACACACACACAAATAACATGATATTAACATATGATCAACAAATTAGATTAATCTAAAGGAGCATTTTTAACTTCTTGAAACTTGTTTATAAAACAGTTTTGGTAGGAAAACGCGCATAACAGTACAGAATCATTACTCAAAGTGAGCACGTGCTTACCTGGCTCATCAACGCTGGATGGGAAACTATTACTCTAAGATCAAAATATATCGGCGAAGTGAGTCCACTTTTTAGCTTAAAAGTCCCAAACTTTACTGCTTGGATGTCGTGCAGATTCAGGATTAAACTGTCCAGACTAACGTTAGTGTCATCCATTTCGATTTGAGCAGCCATGTTTCACTAACTAGGGTAAAGTGCGGGTAACGTTAGTGATTTCTTCCCTCGCTCGGATCATTCCCAAACCACAGTGACGGCGAGTCGACGCGCACACACGTGATAGACTGGATGAAATCACTTGACAAAATAAAAGCATCAGTAGCCCTGTGTGGACTTAAAAACAAAACTGTTTTAAAACGCATTTTACAGTAGTTTATTTAATCAGACTCCTTGCTAATGCTTACTGCATAGCTAGCATTTTAAATATCCTTAATACAAACAATAAAATAATAGACCTATATACACACGGTTTGCACAAAAAGTATATTGACCTCTCATATTTCATCTTAAGCTCTTCAACATGACATTACTGTCGTTTTGGTAACAAGTTTCATAAAACTTGATTAAGTGGAAGAACGTTTGCTATGGTAGAAATGACACAACAACAATGGGACTGTGCTTTTTTTAAAGACAAAAATCACGTTCACACAATAATAACTGAGATGCTTTAAGTATTAGTTATTTAGATCAATCTATACAGCCATCTGAAAAGTAGCAAAAAATGACGCCGTTTTCATCTGTAAAAAATTTGATGAATAGATAAGACTTTTATTTTGATATATCGGCGAAGTGAGTCCACTTTTTAGCTTAAAAGTCCCAAACTTTACTGCTTGGATGTCGTGCAGATTCAGGATTAAACTGTCCAGACTAACGTTAGTGTCATCCATTTCGATTTGAGCAGCCATGTTTCACTAACTAGGGTAAAGTGCGGGTAACGTTAGTGATTTCTTCCCTCGCTCGGATCATTCCCAAACCACAGTGACGGCGAGTCGACGCGCACACACGTGATAGACTGGATGAAATCACTTGACAAAATAAAAGCATCAGTAGCCCTGTGTGGACTTAAAAACAAAACTGTTTTAAAACGCATTTTACAGTAGTTTATTTAATCAGACTCCTTGCTAATGCTTACTGCATAGCTAGCATTTTAAATATCCTTAATACAAACAATAAAATAATAGACCTATATACACACGGTTTGCACAAAAAGTATATTGACCTCTCATATTTCATCTTAAGCTCTTCAACATGACATTACTGTCGTTTTGGTAACAAGTTTCATAAAACTTTATTAAGTGGAAGAACGTTTGCTATGGTAGAAATGACACAACAACAATGGGACTGTGCTTTTTTTAAAGACAAAAATCACGTTCACACAATAATAACTGAGATGCTTTAAGTATTAGTTATTTAGATCAATCTATACAGTCATCTGAAAAGTAGCAAAAAATGACGCCGTTTTCATCTGTAAAAAATTTGATGAATAGATAGACTTTTATTTTGAAAACAAGTTGCCTGTAACGAGTACCTATAAAAATATCACAAATAACAAGTTCAAATAAAACAAAACAAACGATTTTACGTCTGTTTTAAAAAGTGGTTTGAAATTGTGATCTGCACTTCAAGATCTGCCTCTGCTGTCTCAGTAAATTGTTCATTTTGTGATGTTTTGCTTTAATCACGTGATTCCAGTAACGTTATAAGGTTTCTTATCAAGGCTTGTTTCTATGAAGGTCTGTCATCTGTGGAATAATCAGAGCGATATACTGTCTGACCAAAGGTTGTGTATTGGAGATTACGACCAAACTGATTTGAGAGTGTGCTGTCAGCAGAAAGAAGCACAGGTCATGTGCTGAGCTGACATCTGATCCACTTCTACATTTCTGAGGCAGAATCATGAAGAGAAGACTTCTGCTGGTATCTAACTCCACTCTTCATGGAGGAGGATATCTTCAACACTGTCAGCAGCAGATCCAAGACTTTTTTGGAAAGTAAGTTGCCAGCAATTTAACTAGAAGGCATTACACTTTTGGTAAAACTGTTCTAAGAATAGTTTTGCAATTACAGCCATAAACCCTTTATATATTAATATTCTGATACAAAATAAAAGGTTATATTCTGCCTGGGTATATTCTGATAATAATATTCTATCTGTATGCAGTCATGTCACTGGATAAGTGAAGCAAAGTACAAGTCCATTAATTGAACTTAAACACCGGTTATGACAAGTGCATATAAGCGTATGAAGACACACTTTTGTGGTTTTGTAATCATCAAATTAATCTGACCTGCATTGACCCCGGTTATAAGTGCGCATAACTTTGTTTTCTGTTCAACAGGAATGTAAAGAGGATCCTGTTTGTCCCATATGCACTGCATGATCGAGATGCCTATAGCAAGACAGCCAGAGACAAGTTCAAGACATTGGGTTTGTGTCTTGTTGATTTTACCACATGTATGTTGAGCACACAGTCACTGCCACATTGGCCTTCATCTCTTCTTTTCTCCTTTTCCAGGCTATGAGGTGGACAGTGTCCACGAGACACCAGACCCTGTGGATGCTGTTAGGAAAGCTGAAGGAATATTCATTGGTATGAAGGATTTTTAATAAATATACTGCTATACTAAAATATACATTTTCTTACAATTATCAGCATAAGAATATATTAAATATAATAAAATATATTTAATAGTAAAAAGAATTCACTTTGATTTTTGTTTTTTTTAAATATACGATTTATAAGACTTTCTCAGTATTTGGTTTGTTCCCCCTTTTTGGGTTCACAAATTTACTTACATTTAAGTAATCACCCAGAAATAGTGCAGTATCTTTGTCACAGTGTTTATTTATATACATTTTTCAAAATCCTTAAGCTTTAACCCTGTAATGTATGGTGACCATTACAGAGGTGTAGCTCTCTCAGGATGAATTATTTGGAATTATTATTTGCATATTATTATATGTGTAATCATGATGTTCTTGTTTTGAAGTAATAAAAAATTAACAACATTAAGTTATTGTTCTCTAAAACTAAACTATTGAAAATAGTTGTTCTTAACTGACAAAGATAAAATAAAATAAAATATAAATACTAAATACTAGATAAAAAAAAAAATATTGCC